GAAGATATTTTCATTGAGAAAAGCAAGAGCTTCTTCCTGTGTGGTTGTATTGCTCCCCCTACTGGCCATTTGTGTTTCTTCAGTTATAATTTAACTCCAATTCTTCCTATAATAGCGTTGGTATTTAAATTATACGCAAAGTTTTTTGTTATTACTGCATCTTTAAAACCGACCTTGTGTTTCACTATAGATTCAAATTATTTTAAAGTATTGGTCATAATAGAAAAAAGTGACTTATCTATAAAATGCATCTGTTGTTTGGATCAGCAGTTAATAGATTAATGCAACTGATTAAAACATACTTTGTGCCTAGCTCATTTTCTGCATTAAAAGTGAATCATTTTACATGAGAGACTGACCAAGCTGATCATCGCCTCTGTTTTTTACAGGCTATCCAGGATTAGCACCTGGATACACTTACCGGTTTCCAGGTATGTTGTTTTTATGTCTAGCTCTTTGTGACTCTTCGAACAGGAGGGCGTCTAAATGCATACGATAAAAACGCTGATGAACAAAGGTCTTGTTTTGCTCTCTGGATTTTGTTTCTGCACATACATACATGACAAAATCTGACCCAAAATTGATTTCTCTTTCCATTCGTTGGTCAGAAGCTTCCCTTTTTTCCCTTAAACCCACATTAACGTTGTTAATTTTTTTCCTTTAAATTTCCACATTTGTTTACTTCTTTGCTCTTTGATGATTCTGTTTATTTAAGCTGCTTATATAACTCCCTTTCATTTAGACTGTATGGCTCCTCCTCTTCCTTTTGCTCCTGACTTCCTGCCGTCTTTAAAGGAGGAGAAAACTGCAGGAAAATTGTATGAAAAGCCGTCGGAGGAAGAGGACGAGACCTACATTTGGCAAAACTCACAAAAAGCTCCCTGAGAGTCACTTGTTAGTGGCCTCACTTATTTAAAGAAACCGTTCTGCAGTCTTTGCTGTGTTTTCTTTTCTTTAAATGCAGTTTTCAATCATAATTTGTCTAAAAGTCCTTTACCTGTTTTATTTTAAGAGCTTGGTTGTGATGTGATCCTATGGAGAAACTCTATGTCGACAACTGCAGCTCTGCTTTGTTCCCATTTAGGAAGAGCACCTTTGATTTTATTCTTTTCTTTTTTTTTACTTTTTTCTAATTTGACTCAGCCAAAAATGAGACGATGCGTCAATCTCTGGGTCGGCCCACAGTGAAAAATGTAGCACTGTATCTCATAAATTGGGACATCTGGTCAATCTACCAACAGGTTTCGTTCCTAAACACTTCTGGCCAAAATCTTACAAATCCCAATGTAAGTTGGTTAATGAGGAGGAGAGTGAGAAAATAAGCACAGAAGGTTTCTGCATCAAGCATCCATTCAAAATGCACCAACTGAACAATGCTACTGACCAAACTAACTATAGTCATTGATGTAAGCTGTTATGGGTTCCACTCCCACCCTGTTGACATTCGCTCCATTAACACCCATGTTCTCTTCCCATCCATCCCGTTCCAGTCTACATAATTTAAAAACAAAAAGGCTTTTTTTTGCCATGTTTATTTTATTTGTGCAAACCTGGATCCAACATATCCATAAAAGACTGCAATGATTGCAGTAAGTTGTATTAAGCTATATCACGTTATATGTCAAGCCATATCAATAGTTTGTTATCAGGTCTTCAGTTGTGGCCTGTGAACCCTAACCACCTTGTCCAGCTTTGCTACTTCTGCTTCTGGACCGTTGGCAAACTCCTGGTCCTTCTTCACCTGAACATACATACACACAAAGAAAGACAAAATTAATTAACATTCACTTCATTAACACTAACTGAGAATTAAAGGAAGGACAAAGAATAACTGCATCTTCAAAGTCCACTTCTCATTATTTTGTAAATATTTGATAACTTTTTCTGGGAAAACATTGAAAATGGCAGCTTTGGGATCTTCTCAGACCCTCACAAAGCTCTTTAGCCATGGGGTCCCATGTTGAACACTCAGTGAGCACAATGAGAATGGGAGATTAATAATGAATCCCAAACCGCTCCCTAAACACTAACCCTTAACTATCAAGTGTTACTCGCAATAAAGTCACACTCACAGCTGTGGAAGGTGCCTGGATTGTACGTGGGGGATATAAACGTGAATAGGATGGCCTCTTCCCTCCGACAAAAAGGAAAGCAGTTGTTTTTTATGGCAACGTAGTGACGCCGCATGCGTCGCTGTGGCTCTGTGACGCAGGTTAACGTGAGATCAAAAATTGTTCTTAGAAATAAATCTATCCAATTTTAAATAAAACTATTTTAAAGAGCACCTTCCATTTAGGGATTAATCACGTCTTTTTTCTTTTTCCTAAGTTGTGATGTTCTGTCAGTGTGATGAAGATGCAACAAACCAGCAAAACTGTATTTGAATGCTTGTGTTTCCTCCGCTACTAGTTCGCTGTTACGCCTGCCGTCAAATGCCAGCGAGCCTGCACTGATGTAGATTCGCTATTTAAGGGCTGGACTGTGCACTCACCCTACC